ACTTCCCTATTTGAGTGGATTGGTTTATAAAAGAGAAAAACTACGGGAAATTTATTGAGAACGGGTTCTTTGCCTGAAAATTGCGTTTTTCCTAATAATTAAGATGTTCAAAAACTCCAAATTCTTCAACAGTTCAGTCAGTTCTCATCACAGAATCACAACAGGTGAAAGGCCAAAAAAAGGCCTCCGTTGGTGCACTAAAAAGGGCCCCCACGTGGTTCACCACCGTCTTTCTGATCATGCTCTTTTCGGACCAGAACCTGGCCCAAAGTCGCTGGGAGTTTCGGATCTTCGTCACCAAAATCTCAGAGTATAATAGGTATATACAGTATATTTGAAACCGCCAACCAGGTGAAAAAAATATCGTTCAAAGCTTCTTGAGAACTTGAAGGACCGGGAAAATTTGAACAAATTCCACTGCGAAATGAATTCACCCAATCGGCCATGAATCCATCAGAAGAATCCAAATTGAAGCGAATGCACAAAGTTGACTTCTATCAGTCCCGAAAAAAAATTAGAAATGGTTCAACTAATCACTATCTTAGAAGTGGATTTCACTCACTCCATTCTCTCACTGTTGAGGTTGCAATTGGCCAGCTGGCACCAGGCGTGGTTGTTGAACTTGGACCACGGTGAATTGTGGTACCATCCATACCTCAGTGGCTGACGTGGAACCCTGGGTAGGACATACCCCGCAGGTTTGGTTGGCCCCAGCAAGGCGTTAAATATCCTTCATGAAAATGGTTCAACCAGTGCAAAAACAAAAAGAATGTTTCTCTGAAAAAAGGATATACGGCGCAAATTGATAATGCAAAAAATCAGGACCAACCTGCAAATGTCAGGGGGGCGCCTTATTTTCAAGCAAACCTAACAAATCTAGGACATTATCTCGAAAATGAACATGTGCGACCAACTGGTCCTGAGGGCACAACATAATGGGACTCAGTTGGTGCTTCTGCTTTCTGATCTTGTGGAACTTCACCGGACCAACCTAAGGACAGACAAAACCCATCTGATATTGGATGCGCTTTGGTCGTTTTCAGAGCGTCTGTTGGGGGGGAAGTCAAAAACAAGATCGAAACACAGGATCGAAATAGATCCAAATAGACACACCATCTGTTTCCGAAACCATCGTCTGCTTTGTTTGACTGCTTGCAAAAAACAAAATGTTGTTTCTGAAAGATGCCCAATTTGGACACCGTCGAAATGAAAATGTTTTTTTCATCTAGACCGAAAGGCTCAGTGCCCAACACCATCAAAAAGATGTGCTCGCGCACAACGGCTCATGGCACCGAAGCTATTTGCGTCTGTGTGTCAATCCCTGCCATCCGATTGTTCGACTTGAAAATTGTATCCAGCTAAAACCTTTCAAATGGAACACGGTCAAGTTTTCGGGGTTCAAAAGGTGGAGGTTTTGGCGACACCCGAACCAGCCGTCGCAATCTGCAAGATAAACAAGAATAATTGTTCACCAGTTGAGGTTTGCGTACCCATCCAATGTGTGCTTGAGTTTATTCAAACGGTTTTTTTTAACTTAATGTGGCTGCTTGCATCTGTCTGAACTCAGCCCAGCCAAAGTGGCGCTTGGAAAAAATCTTTGTGATACCTAGTCAGCATCAAAAACAATCTGCGCGCCATCGACAGAGGCGGTGTTTTAGGGCGCAAAACTTCATGCATCAATGCAGCCAGCAACAGCTGTGGGCCGATTTCGCGAAAACTTGACACATGAATATTTACTGAGTTGGTTACTTTCGATCATCACCCTAACAGAAAGCAACATTGAGATCATTATCCGAAGAAGGGATTGAAACCTGCTGCGCGCAAGAAATGGAAAGTGTTTGAAAGTACAGTAAACCAAATTTGAAACCTCGAACCGGCATAAACAAAGTGCATGAATAAGAGCCCAATACATTTGCAAATCATTTCACGCACTGGCGAGGAACCGGCATCAGTAGCATAAAACAGCACAAACAATTGCAACCAGCTCCAGCATGTCACTTTGAATCCTCTATTGAATGCAGTCTTGATATCTGTGAAACTTGATTTGTGAAACATGGTGGCTGGAGCGCGATTGCTCCTGCAGCTTGGTGAAGGCGGTGAGTTTGGGACCATGTTCATTATTGTGGTTTCTTTGAAAATCACCCCATGAATCGTAATTGGTTTTTATCCATGGCTACTCCCTTCGCGAGGGTTTTGCATTTTAAAGTGCCTTTAGTTGTTACAACCATTTACTAAGCGGGGCCTCTAGGGTACCAGTTTCATATACTGTTTGGCACTCTAACCTGGCAATGGATAAGGCCAACTGGCTGGTGGTTTCAAACCACTTTTAAAATAAGAGCCGATGAGGATCATCATTACAGGTACGGCTGAAAAACAAAATACAAGAACATGATGAGAAAAAATACTAACAAAACATTGTTTCAATAAAAATGACAGAATAACAATTTAAGCAAGACTATATCAAAGTAGCAATAATAATCTACACTTGAAACCGCCATCCAGCGAAGTTTAGTGGGAGACCCATGCACAAATAGTTAATTCGCCTACTTTGGCTAAGCTGTGCAAGTTGGACTTCGTCGGGATGTGTCATTGAATATGGATCCCTTTCCCTGCTGCCAAAATGCCGTCTCCTGATGATCAAGCTGCAGGTTGAGGTAGAAATTTGGAAAAAAGACAGGTCAAATGCAGAGGTTGATCTCCACTTTCATTGAACCAAGTTTCTTGCATTGTGACAGCTTGTAATAAATTTCAGTGGCCGTGATGTGGTATCTATAGGGTTGTAATAGAGCGAACTCATCAATTGCTGCTGCGGCGGATTTGGCTGCTCAAGTACTTCCATCTTTAGTTGGATCTCCATGTGGACAATTTTTCATCTTTTTCAGGTCACGCAGCCCGTGACACGGCCACTTGCCAGCCCTTGAAAGGGCCTTAGGTACTCTGACAAACATTAGATCTGCAGTGTCGCATCTTTTCACAACTCTCCAGTGCCAGGCAAGGCACACAGCATTGACTGACTGGAGGAGGAGGTCCCATTCCATCGAGAAGACTTGTGGCGAGGCCTGGCCGCATCTTTCATAATTGGATGGGAAAGACTAGAACTGGAATTGCATCAGATTTTGACCTTGGCATTGGCTACATGGCAAGCCCTTGGCCTTTACAGGTTGCAAGACACCTGCGGGACTTTAGCCCACATCCCCTCAGAAACAAGGCGCTTACAATTTACACCCCAAAATCATCCCAGTTGCCTCATGTCCATGTGCATTTCGGCTGCGCAGGCTCGCGCAACACGTGCGGTGCGAGTTTGGCTTGCTCTTGGTCTGCTGCCTTTTAGCTGTAAATTTCCGCGTAAAATGGCTCTCGTGACATGTCCACGTGCATTTCGACTGCACAGGCTCGCACAAAACGTGCGGCTAACTTCTGGTCTGTGGCATTTTACTTGTAAATTTCCGCAGTACATGACTCTTGTGACATGCCCACGTGCATTTCGACTGTGCAGGCTCCGTTTGGTGCGGCTAATTTCTGGTCTGCGGCATTTTTCCTGTAAATTCTTGCATGATATGGCTCGTCCGAGATGTCCAAGTGCATTTCGACTGCGCAGGCTCGCACAGACTATGGGTCGCGGTCTTGGGACCGGTCCTCCTCAACATCATCATCTTCCTCTTCCTCAACATCATCATTCTCCACATCATAATCTTCCTCCCCCTTGACACCATCATCATCAGCATCATCATCTTCCACCTGATCATCCTCAACATCATCATCATCTTCCTCCTCCTTAACATCATCATCATCATCACCATCATCATCATCCTCATCATCGTCGTCATCGTCATCGTCATCGTTATTGTCATCATCATCATCATCACCATCATAATCGTCATCATCATCGTCGTCATCATCATCATCGTCATCCCCCCTGAGGACCTTAACATCATCATCATCATCAACATCATCATCAGCATCATCATCCTCCACCTCATCCTCCGCAACATCACCATCCTGCACCGCATCTTCCGCAGTATTATCAGCCGCGTATTTTTCGACGTGCATGGAGCTACCTACAGATCGAATGATTAAAATATTCAGCCGATCCAGAACTGAGGTTTGCATGGTATCAATGAACGTTTAGTTTGTTTATCAAGACAAATGTTTCTTAGTTCAATAGACTACTGTTTCCTAGACATGGATTTCCACAGCATCAGACTTAGGCAATACACGGAACTCTGCGGAGAACATGTTGTCATGATCGGGAAACAACAGTCCCTAAAGAATAGATTGTCATTTTGCCCGTAAAATCCGTTTTTGTTGGTTGAATACCTGCCCTCATGTTGCTTGAGAAGTTTGCTGTGGATCTATTGGGTCTAGACAAATTAGTTTGGCCATAAACATGTTGGGGGCCAAACTAAAAGCAGGTGCCAAAGTATAGTTTCGTATGCATGATTGGGATTACGAGAGCATCAAACTAGGTAAACGCCAGAACTGAGAGGGAACATGTTGTCATAGTCGGGAAACAACATTTCCTAAAATCCGTACATGTTTGCGTCTTCGATTCAATCCCTCCCCGATCGTCCAGTTTGATTGTATCATATCTGAGGTCGCAGATATTTTCGCAGCTGAAACCGTGATTTTTGTGGCACCAATTCTTTCCCCATGCTGTTTACCAAACGAAACCCTGGTGAAATGTACAATGTACTGGATCTATTCACGACTTGGGGCTATTGAAAGATGAATTTAATATAATGCCAGCTGTATGTGCGTATATATATATATATTTGTGAATCCCATCTCCGGACGATTCAACCACATTGAGCACCAGTTGCGATGTTTTGTATTTTTTGCATCCCTGTGTTCATATGATACAACAGCTGACTTTCCTGAAGTTTGGCGGGCAAATCCCCCCCACAACACTGGAGGTAATGTCCAAATGCGTGGCCAGTTGAAAGAAAACCATTCGTTATCGAAGCCCCCCAAAACCTTCCCACAGACCTTATCCATCCCTGTCATCCGTGTTGCTTTTGGAAAAAACATGAGTTCAAAAACCAGAAAGGCTCTGTTTTTGGGATGATATAAACCATTGCTGTCTGTTGTTCAATTCTTGTTGGTTTATGTCCAATTTTTGTTGGCTGCTCCCTTGTCTGAGCTCGATGCAACCTGTCATCCACAACCTCTCGGCCAAGCGGTCCGAGAGGGAGGGAGCTGAGTTCCCCACCTGGTGCCTGGGATCCCGACCATGCGGTCAGGCAGCCTGCGACACGAGGCAGGCAGAGATGGAAGTGCAAAAGCGTCAGAAAACCATGTGATACGCTGCCCTCCAGCACCTTTGCCTTCAGCACTTTTTCCTTCAAATACTCCGCTTTGCGCTTTGCATTGTGGTCTGCTCGGCGTTGCCTCTGCTTCCGAAACTTCTTTGAAGGTGGGAGCTCTCTGGCCCTCTCCTGTACATGAGGGTCATCCCAAAATTTACAGGCGGCTAACGTCTCTGCCTCTGCCGAGCTACTGCTCACTTCTCCTTGGTACTCCTTTTTCAGCGTGGACTGAAAGTTGCCATCCGGACCCTGGAATGTATGATATTTGCCAAACGGAGGATCACCAGGTTCAGAATAAAGCAAGCGCCTCACTGCAAGCGTTGTGGGTCACAGATTTCCAGAGATTTCCACTACATCCAATACGTTTCAGATATGTTCAGATCATTGACACTTTGAATTTCATGGCGTGGCCCATGCCTGCAACATCTTGCGACTAAGCTACATGAAGAAATCGACGGTCGCACCTTTGAAATTCTTGTCATACTTACCCACGTCGAAACCCCACAGCTTGCCAGGCCGTTGGTGAGAGGAACTTGTGGGAAAAAAATCGAAGAACCAATTGGCCCAAGTGGCCATGGGCCAGGCGTCTTGCGAGGTTTTCTTTGGCTGAGCTTCATGATCTTCATGCAACTTTTCGCGCTGAGATGGTTCTCCGTCTGGACGCAAATCCGCCAGAAAAGGGGCCAGGAACTCCTGAAAATCCACCTTCTTCTCGGCCCGCATTTGCTTGCCAATTTCAAGGCACTGCAGTAGATGGCCGCGGTCCAAGTAGGACTCGCCTTGCAGTTCTCTACGGCTGAACACCTGGAGGTTGACAAGAAAATCAAAGGTGTCCATATCAGCTGCAGCCACGCGAGACCTCAAAGGTGGAGTGATGAGAAGGACCTCTTGCAGCGACTTTCTTCCTAGCCGAATCTCTTGAAGTTTTTTTGGGAAGCCGCCCATGACGGTCACAATGGCTAACCTTGTCCCCGGCAGCACCCCTGGACCCCATGGCTTCCCAAAACCGCAGCGGCAGTTGATGAGTTCGTCCTAATCCAGTTCTATAGATAGCCCATCACTGCCACTGAAATTTATTACAAGCTGCCACGATGCAAGAAACTCAATTCAATGCAAGTGCAGATCAACCTCTGCATTTGACCTGTCTGTGTTCCATATTTCTACATCAACCTGCAGCTTGATCGTCATCAGGAGACGGCATTTTGGCAGCAGAGAAGTGGACAGTCTCCCAATCAACTCAGCAAAATGTGGCCAAAAGTGTGTTCATGCTTCAATTCTTTACCAATTCCATGTAAAATGTCATGCCTGTTCGCCTGTTCGCATCATTCGCTTACCTGAAGAAGCCCTTGGTATACTGTGACTGAATGGAATTGGTTGGAGTACAACCTGCCAAAATGGTTTGTGTTTCATCTCAGTAGTCCCCTGCACAACGGTGTGGTCTCAGCAGCCCAGTGACCATGCCTCAAACGAAAGCCACCATGGTACACAGGGTACCTTGGCAAGTGGACGTCCAAGCTTGCACGTTGGGAGGCTGAAGTCTTCAGACGTTGAATCTTTGCCAGGCAACAATGATTATATATATATATATTCATTTGTATTGGCCATGTTCACACACATTAACATACATGTGTATATGTATATATATACATTTATATATATATATATGAACATATATATATATACATATATATATATATATGTTTATATGTGTATGTATATATATATACATATATAATATATAATATATATATATATATACATATAATGTATATATATATATACACATATAGTATATATATACATATATAATATATATACATATATAATATATATACATATATAATATATATACATATATAATATATATACATATATAATATATATACATATATAATATATATTTGTATATATATATACGTATATATGGAGAGAGAGAGAGAGAGAGTTGTTCTCCTTCTGATTCTTATCGCTGAAACAAATGGGCTGCGATTTTTTTCAAGCCTACAAACGCTTATTTGTGCGTCACATTCAATCGATGTGACTGTCCCCATCTGGAAAGGCTTTTCAAGAATGGGGAAAGGATGATGAGCATATGGACTTGGGGTACCCTATGGATTGAGGTAACAGTTATTTGGTAGGTTGGTCCCCTAAATGAATCTAAAGTTGGCAATGTGGTTTATACAATCAAAAGGGTACTACATAAACATTGATTTATTTCATCTGTGGATACACCTTTGCATCCAGGACATGATATGAAAAGAATGGTCCCATCATCCATGCCAGCAATTGGATGGGCTGGGTGTTGGAGCAGTTAGACCAGGTCCACGGTCAAGGGCATCTGAATGCTTGCTACTCTACGAAAAATCAAACAATAGCTTAGACTGCGGGTCTCTGTACACAAGTATTATTTGCTCGTGAAACACCCATTTTTGCTGCTTAAATCCCGATCTCTTTTGGATGATGTCATCATTTCTGCTTAAAATCGGTGCCAAAAAGTTGCTGGTTTGCCGCATGCAATGAGGCAGGCGCACCTGGAGCACCGGAATTTTCAGTGGTTGCAACGAGGGGGGTTCCTCTAGACCGACAACAAAATCATCCAATTTGGACTGGTAGCTGGTTGTCATTGTTTAATGCAGGTCAATTTATTGTAGTCGCGTTTATCCAATTTATCACTTTCCCCAAAATCCAATTCATGATAGGGTGTGTGTGACCCAAATTTTGAGAAACACCCAGGGGTCTATGACCATTGAATCTATTCCCCTCCTTCTAACATTAAACACCCCTAAATATGTGTAATCATGCTTTCTGGGGGTGTTTTCTATTAGGGAGAAGATATTTTGCCTGGAGATGTGAGTTCGGATGCGATTCAGATCGAATAAAACGTGGCCATGTCAGCGGCTCCCCCATTTTTGGCTGGTTGAATCCGATGATTTGCGGGAAACGGATCCAAATTTTCATAGAGTAACTGGTTGAAAGGTCGACAAGGGTCAATCGCCCTTTCCAGAAACCAATGTGGGAAGAATGCTGGACTCTTGGGCCAAGCTTTCGTAACTCACTGGTGGTTTCAACCACCACAACCTTCACATAGGATGGAAGACTGTCAGAGTCCATGGTGTTTTTGGTGTCGATCATAAAGGAATTTTCCGTATATTCCCAGATAGGATGTTAAAACAATCAGCATTCCACAGGTTTCACTTGTGGAACATCTTGGGAATCTATGAGGCAATTGGAGGGTCCATGGATGTGACCAAATATCTCAATTTAACCGCTACAAGTGGTTTTTAGAAAATATGCCTACCTATTTTGTACATGTTTTTGGGGTCAAAACCCCGGTGCCCTTGTTTCACGGCAGTTTTTCATAGCTGGTGTTCATGGATATTAGTTCATTCATGTTCCCCCCATCACAAAACTAGAATCGCCTATGCTGAGTAAATACCTGATTTTGTCCCATCCATAAACTAAACTATCATCAGCAAAATACTACACCCGAATATACATCAAGTTGATGGGATGCAAAAGCGCCATAATGTAGAGGTTTCCTAGGATGGGGGTCAGTTGGCAACTAAACAAGGTCAGCAAAATGGGTAGTTGATCCAATTGGATCACAAAATGATTTGCACATTGTAAAATGTGTTTTTGACCCAGGGCAACTTGCCAGACTATCGAGTTCAGCAGAAAAGACCAAAGAAGAAATATCCCAGACCTTATCGCAAGTTCCCCATCAGATCAGTGTTCTTTCATCATACTTTTCAAACATCCCATGCGCAAGACTTCCCAATCAACGACCTTTCAACATCTTTCAATGGATTAGTATGACTAGTTAAGGATGTTTAAGGAAAAATGCGCATCCACATGCCCTTTACATCCCTGTACCCTCCAAAAAGTGCAAGTGCCACAACGTCAACATGTCCCAGGCGCTGAATGGAAAGGAAGACTGACTGACGTAAGACGAGTGGGATGTGAGTAACTGGAAGCGTGGAATTCTTGAACTCTAGAACTTGTCAGTTCAGCCCAACGGGTGGTAGAGTGTAAATCGTGAAAGTGAAGAGCATCTAAGGCTCCGATCGACGTAGACTGGAGAAAGGATTTGGAAGAAATGTCATCATCAGAGGAACTGGCCGTACGTTCCCTGGTAACAGCCATGTTTGCCAGCTGCTCGAAGTTTAAAGATGCAAGAAGTTCTTGGACCCTTTTCTCAGCATTCGAGAAGGCCACAACGCCTTCAAACCATCCAGTGCAGTCGATTTCAGTTCCTACTGCAGGGCTTTGAAATGTTCGGCGAACGGGAGGTCTTCGTCCGGGAAACCCCATCCAAGGAGCCTGAAAAACTGCAAGGTGGCAACTGACACAAGCTCTGCCTCTGACCTCAAAAGCAAAGCGCTGCAGCGATGTCCAACGTGTGCAGCTTCGGAGCGCTTTCCACCTGAACAGTGTCATTCACCCCGGAGGCTGAAAAATTCATCAATCAACCGTACATTGGAAATGTCACCAGACGTTTGTCTGATGCTAAATTATCTGCTGACCACAGGTTGGCCACATCAAATGTGCTGATAACCAGCCACAGTTGAAAGGCGCAGACAGGTCTATGGCTTCTTGCGTGTGGCGCACTCCTTGTGGTGGCTTGGGTGCAGAGCCTCGAAGCTGACGTGGAGCAATCTCTTTCTTTTGTTGGCCCGCTCATCATTGGCCAGTCAAGCCTTTTTCCTGCGTTGGAGAAATACAAAGTACTGGAAAGCAACCCGCCCTGCGGATGCCTAAATGGGGTATGTGGTACATTGTATGGGGGGAAGGGGTTTTCTGCCGTTCCCTGCCCTTCCCTCGGCAACGCCTTCATGTTCCATGCCTCTTTCCAAACTTGGCCTTGCCACGCGTTGCCTCCCCATCAGGTCTCGCCTCCCAGACTTGGCCCTGCCACATTCTACAGTCGAGGTCCCTTTCTGGGCGCCATGTTTCTACTGGTTTTTTGGATCCTGTTTTGGGAGCCATGATGAAGCAGGTTTGTTGGCATGCGAGGCGCTCCAAAGCTTACCGAGGCCTGCCCGAGGCACGCATGGCAGGAGCTACTGTGGAAGAAACCGCCTTTGAGGATGTCAACATGTGGCAGGCACCGGTTTCGCAGAAACCACCCCTTATGGGAACCTAGAATGTGGCAGGGCCAAGTCTGGGAGGCGAGACCTGATGGGGAATCAACGCGTGGCAAGGCCAAGTTTGGAAAGAGGCATGGAAGCCGCAAGTGGGAAGAAGAGAACTCCGCAACACGAAGGCGTCACCGAGGGAAGGGGAGGAAACGGCAGAAAACCCCCTCCCCCCCATACAATGTGCCACACACCCCGATGCCCCTGCGGATGCGGGAGAACCCTTGCGAAGGACCACTGCGGATGCCAAAAACCACCAAAAAATGGCCGCGGATGCATTTCCGGCGTTTGAGAAATACAAAGTAATGGAAAGCAACCCGCCCTGCGGATGCCTAAATGGGGTATGTGGTACATTGTATGGGGGGAAGGGGTTTTCTGCCGTTCCCTGCCCTTCCCTCGGCAACGCCTTCATGTTCCATGCCTCTTTCCAAACTTGGCCTTGCCACGCGTTGACTCCCCATCAGGTCTCGCCTCGCAGACTTGGCCCTGCCACATTCTACAGTAGCAACTGGACTTGGGACGCACAAAGAGGAAAAGGTATGAGTTGACATTCATGTTCAAGCTGCAGGGTCGCAAATCTGCTTGCACAACATGTGCGGGCAGCAGCGAAAGTCTCCGATGGCTGACCCCATTTTTGGGTCCAAATATGGACCCCAAAATGGGGTCCAGAATTGGATCACATTTTCATTCCTTCTTTTAGGTCTTTGCTTGGGCCCCGTTTTGGGATCCAGATTTGGACCCAAAAGTGGGGTCAGCCATCAGAGAATTTTGCTGCTGCCCGCAGAGGTTTTGCAAGCAGATTTGCGACGC